TTTCTGTGTTATCTGTGTTAATTATGACTTTCTATGTCAAAATTTAAACTTAAATATGACATTTATTTCATTTACCAAGCTTACCAAGCTACGAGAATGCTACAAGCTACAAAATACTTTTTGCACGCAAAGATAATGACTTTTTTTTCAATAATTTCTTCTTATCCTTGTCAATTAACGCGCGTTCAGGAGAGTATCACAACACATGGTGCTGCTAACACAGGAGCTGGCGTTCTGACGTAGAACCTGGATTTGCTGTGCCTTGTTTGCAAGCAGAGGAATGCAAACACATGCATCGTTTTACTCATGAGAACATGCAGCAGAGACTGGCACAGAAGATAAGAAATTGTTGAATAAATTCATTATTTTTGTTTATTTTGTACACAAAAAGTATTCTCATAGCTTCATAAAATTAAGGTTGAACCACTGATGTCACATGGACTATTTTAACGTGTTCTTGCTACCTTTCTGGGTAGTAAAATTTGGTCACACTTTTATTTTAAGGTCTAATTCTCGCTCACTTTTGCTTCAATAAACTCCTAATTTGCTGCTTATTAATAGTTAGTAATGCAGTTGTTAGGTTTAGGTATTGAGTAGGATTAAAGATGTAGGTCATGCAGAATATGTGCTTTATAATACTAGTAAACAGCCAATAGGTTAATAATAGGCATGCTAATAAGCAGCTAGTTAATAGTGACAATTGGTCCCTATACTAAAGTGTGACCTAAAATTATATATATATATATATATATATATATATACAGTGCCTTGCGAAAGTATTCATACCCCTTCATTTATTTCACATTTTGTTATGTTGCAACCTTATGTTTGCTTGCTTTAAATTACTTTTTTCCTCATCAATCTACACTCCATACACCATAATGACAAAGCAAAAACAGAACTGTCACAACTTTGTAAATTTATTAAAAATAAAAAACTGAAATAAGTACATTGCATAAGTATTCACTCATTACTTAGCTGGAGCACCTTAACAGCCTCAAGTCGTTTTGGGTACAGTATGATGCGACAAGCTTTGCACATCAGCATTTGGCAATTATCTGTCATTCTTCTCCTCATCTCTTCACCTCTCAAGCTCTGTCAGGTTGGAGTTGGGCAGACACACATTTTCAGGTTTCTCCAGAAATATTTGATTGGGTTCAATCCCAGGCTGTGGCTGGGCCACTCAAGAACATTCACAGAGTTGTCTATAAGCCACTCTTGATGTGTGCTTAGGGTCATTGTCCTGTTGGAAGGTGAACCTTCTGCCCAGTCTGAGGTTCTGAATGCTCTGGACAAGGTTTTCATTAAGGCTATCTCAATATTTTAGTCCCTCAGTCCCTGCCGCTGAAAAACAGCCCCACAGCATGAGGCTCCAGCACACTTTACTCTTTGGATGGTACTCTGCAGGTGATGAGCAGTGCCTGGTTTCCTTCAAACATTATGCTTGGAATTGAGGTTCATCAAACCAGAGAATCTTGTTTCTCAGAGTCTGCGGGTCCTTTAGGTGCTTTTTTTTTTTGCAAATTCCAAGTGTGTTTTCACGTGTCTTCACTGAGGAGAAGATTGAGTCTGGCCACTCCGACATAAAGCCCAGATCGGTGGAGTGTTGCAGGGATGTTTGTCCTTCTGTAGGTTTCTCCCATCTGCATATATGATCATGGAGCTCAACTAGAGTAATTTGGACATTTTCACTTTGGGGTGTACTCACTTTTGTGGCCAGTGGTTTAGACATTAATGGCTGTGTGTTGAGTTATTTTGAGGGGACAGCAAATTTACTTATTTATACAAGCTGTACACTCACTACTTTACATTGTAGCAAAGTGTCATTTCTTCAGTGTTGTCACATGAAAAGATATAATAAAATATTTACAAAAATGTGAGGGGTGTACTCACTTCTGTGAGATACTGTGTATATATATATATACTGTATATATACACAATTTTTTTTTACACTTTTCCAAAAAGTGCACCTATGTACTTTATCTCTAAAAGTTGTATATTGTAACCTTAAATGTATTTATTAATACCTCCAGTGTGCATAGTACCGTTTGAAAGAGTACTGCCCCAGTGACAGCTTTTGTATCTTTTGTTTTCTGAGATTGTATTGTATTTGATTTGTCTTTGTTGAAACAAGGTGTTTCTGGACCCACACACCAGAAAGGTCACACTTTGGATTTGGTGTTTTCACTTGGTTTTTCTGTGACTAATCTCGAAATCTGTGACACTGTTATCCCTGATCATTGTCCAGTGGTTTTTGACTCTGTGCTAGCTTGTACTCTGCCCAAATCCTATCATTTGCCATGTTTTATTAGATATTTTAATTCGTACTGCCAGGTCTTCTAAAACCTTTAATGCTTTTACAGGCCTTTTCTCTGGTGTCAATCCCAATGAATTGGGAAAATCTTTTTAATGAATTGAAAATCTTTTTAACAGCAATTGCCTCATTTGACTCAATTGCCCCTGTGAGGTTACAGGTATTGAAACAGTTCAGCCTTGGTTAAATGGGCCCACTTGTTCTCTCAGACAGGAGTGTGGGCGCGCTGAGCACAGATGGAAGAAAGACAGACATCAGATATCATATGAAATCTTCAGGCAATCCTTCAAGCGGAATCAGGGAGCTGTTAAGGAATCACAGTTGAAATACATGTCTGATTTAATTGAACAGTCTGGTTTCAGGGAACAACACAGTACTCACGGTTACCAATGACATTTTTCTCACTCTTGACTCTGGTTCTTGCTGTATTTTAATCCTGCTCGTTGTAAGTGCAGCATTTGACACAGTAGATCATGAAATCCATTTAAAAAGACTGTGCTGATAATGTAAATAATATCTGATACTATCTGTGCTGATAATGTAAATACCACAGTTTTTTCCTAATACGTACAGAGGTTGTTTTATGTCATATACAGTATTTCATAATCCTCCTACTTAATGAGAGTGTCATAATCAGAGTCCCTCGAAAAATGGGCAGAGTGAATGAGTGATCTGGGAGTGAAACCAAGCACCACACCCCCTCCATCGCTTATCCGTTATATATCTGTCATGAGTTGTTATATATTCAGTCTCACTGGTGTGAGTAAGGGCGTGTAATCTCAGTGATCTCAGGCCCTTTCCATGACTGTAGACACAATGACGTGCTTTATAAATGCAGACTATTCACAGTCTATACGATGCAGAGTAATAAAGCTCTCAAGCTAATAACACTCCAAGACTCATTAGTATTCTCTGAGGGCTGAATTGCACAAAACCTGTTTCAATCCAGAACCAAAAAAGATTGCATTGCATTGATTGCATTAATTTTGCTTAAAGAAAACATCTTTCCAAAAGTCTTTAAAAAAAAAAAAACTGTTAAGATTGTATTTTCCATTTTTACATTCAATTCTCATACTGTAATGCAAAAAAACAAACAAACAAAAATTATATTATTTAATTTGTAATTGCACATCAATGTAACCTGTTATACTGCCTTTATTTATTCTGCTTTAAATAAAATAATTTATCGTTTTTTTCCGTCTGTGTGTTTTGATTTAAATTAGCATTAATTAATTGCTATTTTTTTTTCACACACACACACACACACACACACACACACACACACACACATTATTTATATGAGCACTCTCATATACCACAATAGCCATTAGTTGCTAAGCAATTCAGTCAAGAGTACAAAGGCAGAGCTCTGGTTAAGCATTAAAGTTTTATAAAAATATAATTTATGAAACTTTGCCCTCAGCCAAAAACTTTGTTTTGAAGTCTAAACCACTTTCTTACCTTTAAAAAAAAAAAAGGGTAAAACTACATTCCGTGGCATAACATCAGATGTTATTTTATTATTATATTATTTATTAAATTATTGTGGGTTTGGGCATCCGCCATGACACTCGCTGTGAGAAATGCTGCAAACAGAGTGATACAAATGGTGAAACGGCTCATCCAATCAGATTTGAGGACCAGAATGAATGAATGAATGACTGGCTGAATGAATGAATGAACATACATACGTACAGAAATAAATAAATAGCATAAATAGCATATGTTAGTATGATGAGGACATGAAAAATATCCTGCATTGTAGGGATAAGGCATTAGTGATAAATGACACAGATGTCTGAGCTTGCACATTCTGTATCCACCTGCTGAAACACAGTGCTCACGTATGTACGATTGCGTAATTGTTTGAGGTGTTGTTCTTTTGATTGTAACATTCCGTGTCTTTACGTGAATGTGGTCTGGCAACGTTGGTGAATAGGGAGGGGCAGAAGGGTTCCGTATAAAAAGCACAATAAACGAAGAATTTGAATCAAACAGCAAACCACAACACAGCATCATGGATGGTGAGCTTCTAATTTTTTAATGATTTCGGGCTTTTATTTAATTAAATTTTTTTTTTTACTGTTTTACTTTCAAGACGTTTTGCTAAACCTTTTACAATAAGTTATTGAGTTATATTTATTAGCCTATTACATTTAATCTTTTCTTAAAATAATCAGATTATTTTACTTTACTATTTACTCTGCTATAATAAATGATTAATTAATTGCTATTAACTTTAAACACTTAAACATAATTAAGTTCTATTTTTGTTTGCTTAAAAACAGCTTTTTTTAAAGATAATTTAGAACACTGTTTATTTGAAAAATATTGGAAATGAATTAAATTATATTCAAAAAGTATTTCAAGAAATATTTTTTCTTGCAATTTTAAATGACATATATTTTTACATAAAAACATTTGCAGCTGCCTCAAAAATAATTTGACCATTTTTGACACAGAGTTCAAACTTCGAAGTATCGACCTGCAACAGGTGCAAAACCAGATCCGGCACAAGACCGACGGTCTGAGTTCCAGCACTCTGGTTCTGCGGAGAGGACAGGCCTTTACAGTGACAATCAACTATGATGGACGACCATTCGATCCACTGAAGGAAAAACTGATCTTCCGAATTGTTCTAGGTATGTTTGTGCATTTGTGTGTGAGGGGTTTAGGTTTTGCCTACATTTTATGGGGACCAAATGTCCTCACAAGGAGAGTAAAACCTGACATTTTTTTTTTATTTTGTATAATTTTACAGCAATATATGCAAATGTAAAAGTACCCACTCCTCTCTCCTCACCGCAGGTCCGCTGTCTGTGGAGGTCCCGGTCTCCAGGCTCGGACATTCCTCTCTGACTCAATGGAGCGCTGTTCTGGAGAGGAGCATCCCGGACCCGACTGGACCCCATGGTCTATGGGTATCACTGTCCAGCCCTGCGTCTGCTTCTGTCGGTGTCTACACACTTCAGATGAGAGTCGAGACCCGTTTGACTGTGAGAACACATCTGCTTGGCCAGTTCACGCTCCTCTGCAACCCCTGGTGCCCAGGTGAGTGCTGTCTGTGTGTCCATACAAAACCGAATCAATGCCTTGATAGTAGGCTGTTACTTGGTAGTGGTCGAGTGGTTTTTGCTGCTATCATTCTAATATGCTGATTTGCTGTACTGCTTGCTTCATATTTTTGTTGAAACATTTTGTGACACATCTTATTTTTCAGGATTCTTTGATGAATAGAAAGTTCAAAAGAGCAGCGTTTATTTGAAATCTAAATATTTTGTAATGCCATACTGTCACTTTTGAACAGTTTAATACATCCTTGCTGAATAAAAGTAGAAATAAAAAGAAAAGAAAAAAGTTTTGAATGGTAGTGTAATTATACATTGCTTTTGCTGCTATTTCATACGCTGCTAAAATCACGGTAATGCATAGCCTCTTATCACTTACTGCTTCCATTTTTTGTCTTTACACAAAGATCACCAATAAAACAAACAAACGGTTGTGTTTATCTGCAGCTGATTCAGTGTTCCTGCAGTCAGAGGATCTGAGGACTGAATATGTCAGGAGTGATATCGGCCTGCTGTTTAAAGGCAGCCTCGGGAACATCGTCTCCAGACCCTGGTCGTTTGATCAGGTGAGATGTTTGACCATTGACTGACAGCTCAGCACTGAAAAAATGCTCTAATGATGATAAAGGAGTGTTAATGGGAAACTGGTCAAATGACTACAGCGGTGGTGTCAGCCCTTCAAAGTGGTCCGGCAGCGCAGATATTCTCAGGAAGTGGGCAGAAACACAATTCAATCCTGTGAAATACGGACAGTGCTGGGTGTTTGCTGCTGTCATGTGTACAGGTGGGACAAATAGAAGTCAATACATTCAAAAGTTTGGGGTCAGAGCAATTTTTTTTTCTTTTTCTTTTTGAAAGAATGCTTTAAATTGATCAAAAGTGACAGTAAAGCCATTTATAATGTTACAAAAGATTTGTGTTTCAAATAAATTCTGTTCTTTTGAACTCTCTGTTCATCAAAGAATCCTGAAAAATAAAATGTATCACAGTTTCTACAAAAATATTCAGCAGCACGACTGTGAAATGTTTCAGAAATGTTCAGTGTATTAGAATGATTTCTGAAGGATCGTGTGACACTGAAGACTGGAGTAATTATGCTGAAAATTCAGATTTGATCACAGTAATGAATTATAATTTACAATATATTCAAATAGAAAAATGTTATTTAAAAATTGTAATAATATTTCACAATATTGCTGTTTACAGTGTTTTTGATCAAATAATTGGTGAGCATACTGTAAGAGACTTCTTAAAAAAAATCTTACTGACCCCAATCTTTTAAATGGTAGTGTGTGTGTGTGTGTGCTTTAAAGGGTTAATTTTCTTAAAAATCTCACATCTTCTTTGCTGTGAAACACAAAAGGAGCTCTTTTTCATACAGTGAAAGTGAATGGTGATTTATTATACCACACTCAAAAAAGGCCAATTTCTTGTGGTGTTTCATGGACTGAACAAAAATAATCACAAATAATAAAATTAAAAAACCACAATGACTATGTGGTAATTTAATTGGTGCTGTTGATGTTCAATATTAAATGCATTTGTTTGTGTGATAGTAATGAGAGCCCTTGGCATTCCGACTCGAGTCGTCACCAACTTCAACTCCGCTCACGACACAAACAGAAATATAGTGATTGAGGAATATTACAGTGAGATGGGGGAAAAATTGCCCATCGGCAGGGATAGCATCTGGTAAGTTATGCTAAAATCCATATTTGATCCAAAATACAGTGAAAACAGTAATATAGTGTCATATTATTACAATTTAATATAACTGTTTTCTAGGTGAATATATGTTAAAATGTAATTTATTCCATTCTAATATGCTGATTTGCTGCTCAAGAAACATTTCTGATTATTATCAATGTTGAAAACATTTGTGCTGCTTCATATATTTGTGGAAACTGTGATATATTTTATTTTTCAGGATTCTTTGATGAATAGAAAGTTCAAAAGAACAGCATTTTTTTGTAACACTATAAATGCCTTTTGATCAATTTAATGCAGAAGCAGAATAAAACTATTCTTTCTTATGAATTTTTTAATCTTTCGTACTTTAATGTTTTTCCTTATGCTTCAGTAAATACGTCTGCATCATCATTAGGCTACAGTATACAAATAATCATGATCTGATTGCATTAAAAAGGAACAATTCATTGTTTCAGGATTTTTAATCTGTCAGAATGTGAGCTAAAAGTGTTTGGCCTTTTTTCAGGAACTTCCACGTGTGGGTGGAGAGTTGGATGAAGAGGCCTGATCTGGGTCGAGGTTATGACGGATGGCAGGTTCTCGACCCCACGCCACAAGAGAAGAGCGCAGGTCGGTCATTACAGCTATTTTTACAAGGCTTATGCACATGGAAAACTCATGTGTTTTTTTATTCCTGCTGAAAAGACCAGTTTCTTACAGGCTGGTTTATGCTGGTTAGTACTGGTCTGGTGGGCCAGTTTAGTTGTGGGCTTTGTTCCAAAACCTAGTGAGCTGCCTACATAGCATGCCATTTGTTTTATCCAAAGCATGCTATTTTTTGAGGGATTTGATGATAATCATGCTTAAACATCAATATTCTGTCACAGAAATGTTCCGCTGTGGCCCTGCTGCTGTTAAAGCCATTTATCATCAGAAGGTGGATGCACAATATGATGTGCCGTTCATTTACGCAGCAGTGAATGCGAATGTGCATACAGTAATCGTCAGAGATGGGAAAGTGTTAACAACCAGCATTGATAAAAACAGAGTTGGAGCTCTGATCTGCACCAAACATCCAGGATCCATGCGTATGCAGGACATCACGTCTGAATACAAAACTGAGATGGGTAAGAGACAGAAAAATACAAAATACTTACCGTTAAATTACTGCTAGTTTTATACAAAAATCTCCTTCTTTCACATTTAGATGACAGCACAGTTCGTGCACTGAGCACTGATGGTAAGTCACCCTAGCTTTTCATTTTTTAAAGCTGACGTGTAATCCATCTGACTAGTATCAGAATCTGAAAAACAGTAATAACAATAATAATAAATAAATGAAAATATATGTATCTGTGTGTGTGTATGTATATATATATATATATATATATACACACACACATATATACAACAATAACTGAAGCAAACTGAGAAGGAAGAGTGACAAGACAAAACAGAGAGGAATAAAAAAACCTTTGCACCTACGTATATGATTTTGATAATATTTTTATGTAAATATATGTTTTTTAGATTTAAATATTGTTGTTTTTTATCTGCATTTAAAAAAAAAAAACTCTCTTCCAGCTCGCAGAGGTGAAGGTGCTACAGGAAGAGTGGGTAAGTTCTAGCATTTGGTTTTCCATTTCTTTGTGTGTTTGAGTACTATATGACTGAATGCAGTGATCAAACATTTCATTTAACATGTCCTTTCATGCAGCACCTCAGGGCCTTGCAGTTTCTCTCCAGCTTCTGAAAGCCCCTGTAGTTGGCGAAAACATTTCTTTCAACGTCACAATCACTAACAAAGTCGTTGTTCCGAAACTTCTGAGAAAACATGTGAACGCTCAGAACAAGGAGTACAACCGCAATCCCACTGGAACTTTCTGGGAGGCTCATGATGACGTGAAGATCGGCCCAAAAGAAAGTAAGAGTTCTGCAAACTATAGTGAACGGCAAAAATTACTTAAAATGAGCTTAAAATATATAACCAGAACTTTTGGTTTTTACAGCCAAACTTATTTTCTTTTTAAAAAATAAAGCCTTACAAGGTAGCAAAACATAAAAGAAACATGAATGGATGTATGGGTTAAAAGGGGTGGATTTAAATACCCCATAAAATCTTAAAGGGATAGTTCACCCAATAATGAAAATTACCACATGATTTACTCACCCTTTCAGACAAATACAATTAGAGTTCAATTTAAAAAAAATATCATCTGTCTATCTATCTATCTATCTATCTATCTATCTATCTATAAAAGAGTTATATAAAAAAAAATATATATAAAGGCCCTTGAAGAGAAGCTGGATGTCACTCACATGCATTTTGTTGAGATCACATGACCAAAATATAGCCTACTACTGTCTGAAATGTTCATCATGGAATACTGCATACTGTTCATTTACTATTTTTTTAAATAGTGGACAGTCTATATTGTGCAGTAAGCTAATATTCCTTTCTGAACACAGCCAGTATGCATAACACATTTCGTCTACTTCCAAGTCTTACAGTGTAAAAACACCCATGTGGATATTATTGGACCATATGATTTTGAATGCCAAAAGGTGGCGAACTGACTCATTAGGAATTGCTCAGTCAAATCCATGATCCCTGTTTCTTGTACTCCACCAGCTGTGACTATAAAACATGAGATCTCCTTCAACGACTACATGCTGACGGAGGCTGCGGAGGATTCTCTGGTTAACCTGGCTGTGGTTATTGAGGATGTGAAGTCTCAGGAGAGAGTGCTGGCTTCAGAGGAGTTCAACATCCGCAGCCCTTCCCTCAATATACAGGTATATGCTGGCCCAATTCATGTTGCCATTTAATGCTGATGTTTAAAAAAGTCAGCATGACTTCACCAATCAGTTCCCAAAGGACAAAATAGAGTCCCATCCTTGAATGGGTTGAGAATGCAGTTAGTAAGATGAAATGACAAGACATTTGTTTAGTTACAAATTAAACCATTTTCAGATTGTTTTTAAGATCTACTTAATAAAGACATGCATCAATTCAAAACCATAGATCCTATGTGGGAAAGATTGTGGTAACACTTTACTTGAAACCTTTATATATAATTCATTATAAACATATTTTTATTGCATCAATTATGTCTTGTAATGCACCTTATGATGCATTGCATGATCTTATCAATAACTGTAACCACAGTTAATTGCATCATAACATTTCTCTATTCATTGTTACAACTTTGAAAGTATAATGCATTAAAACTAATTTCTATGGAAGCCCGTTTTCACCACGGGATAAATATTTTATGTGTTACTTCATCGCTGGCTTCAGAGGAGTTCAACATCCGCAGCCCTTCCCTCAATATACAGGTATATGCTGGCCCAATTCATGTTGCCATTTAATGCTGATGTTTAAAAAAGTCAGCATGACTTCACCAATCAGTTCCCAAAGGACAAAATAGAGTCCCATCCTTGAATGGGTTGAGAATGCAGTTAGTAAGATGAAATGACAAAACATTTGTTTAGTTACAAATTAAACCATTTTCAGATTGTTTTTAAGATCTAATTTATAAAGACATGCATCAATTCAAACCATAGATCCTATGTGGGAAAGATTGTGGTAACACTTTACTTGAGACCTTTATATATAATTCATTATAAACATATTTTTATTGCATCAATTATGTCTTGTAATGCACCTTATGATGCATTGCATGATCTTATCAATAACCGTAACCACAGTTAATTACATCATAATATTTCTCTATTCATTGTTACAACTTTGAACGTGTAATGCATTAAAACGAATTTCTATGGAAGCCCGTTTTCACCACGGGATAAATATTTTATAGTTACTTCATATCTTACAATTCTCACTTTCTTCTCAGAATTATAAGTTTGTATCTCACAGTTCAGGGTTTATATCTCATAATTCTGTTCCGATATCACAAATAATTGTCAAATATTAAAATGCATGTTAATTTTGGTTACAATTATTTATGGAAATGTATCATGCATTACAACATACAAATGTTGTATAAAATGCATTATACATGAAGGCTTCATGTATAAATTGTTATCAATATTTTTTTTGCATTTTTTTCTTCCAGGTTCAGAATGAGTATGTGGTCATCAACACGCAGCAAGTGGCCACAGTGACCTTCACCAACCCGTTCAGCATTGCAGTGAGCGGTGAACTGACTGTAGCCTGTTCAGGACTTCAGGAGAAAGTTCAAACAAGGTATATGAAGTGTTTCATTTCTGAGCGATCACCAAATGAATACACAACATAATCATACAAGTAAATGACTGACAAATCAGAATGTTTAGAAAGGGTCAGTCATATACTTTTCAGAAGAATCAACCTACGAATGTCTCCGCATAATTAGCTTGATTGAGTATTTTAATATATTTAAAAAATGACACATCCATATTCATCCATTTCTATCCACACCCATTTCCCACATCTGCCAACTCCTTTCCAAATTTATCAAAGCAAGTACCACAGTGACTCCACTACACTACAGTACAGTAAAGCTATATTATCCATCACTGTAATTAAAAAATCATACAAGTAAATGACTGACAAATCAGAATGTTTAGAAAGGGTCAGTCATATACTTTTCAGAAGAATCAACCTACGAATGTCTCCGCATAATTAGCTTGATTGAGTATTTTAATATATTTAAAAAATGACACATCCATATTCATCCATTTCTATCCACACCCATTTCCCACATCTGCCAACTCCTTTCCAAATTTATCAAAGCAAGTACCACAGTGACTCCAGTTTTTTTTTTCCACTACAGTACAGTAAAGCTATATTATCCATCACTGTAATTAAAAAGTATTTAAAAAACAATAGAAAAATTCTTACGGTTTAAGATAGATCCCATACTCATTTTGATTTGACAGCAGTAACAGTATTTTAGCAGAAACTATGGTTACTGTGATTAATTTTTGTTCACATACCTGAAGAGTGAGTCTGTGTGAACAAGTCGCTGATGGGCGTCAAACAGTTGAGTTCATTCAGATGTATGTGTACACAGGGAGGGTGTACACAGTGTACAGCTGTGTCTATTAAAATTTATGCACTTGTCCGCCAGCATTTCTGAATCACAGGTCCTTTCAGTTTCTGTGTGTATGCGTATCGCAGAATCTCTAGTGTAAGTTTATTTGTGTTTAAACTGTAGATTTGCCCCAGTATATAGGCCTACAAATGAACCTCTGTGTAAACCACTAACCCTAAACATGAGCAGCAGTGATAGTGATGCTTGTAACAGTAAAAATGATGCTGGCATGTTGTTGCTCCCTAAATGTCCTGTTCCTTATATTTCAGGCTTACAATCCAGCCTCGAGAAACCATGAGGATGCCCATTAATTTCACACCCAGGATGGCGGGTGCCAAGATGCTTTACGCTAGCTTAGTGTTGATGAATCCTCCCACCGTCCTGCACGGATTCAAGACCATCAATGTTCAAGCATCTTAGAGTCAAACACCTTTAGAAAGAATTGTGAACCCTCAGCATGAAGTACTATTTAATGCTCTTCTAATACATCGTCAGTCTTTTTCTAAAATACGTATAATGTGTCCAACACTTTTCAACAAGTCAGTATTAGAAATGTTTTCCTCCAGTAAGTTTGCACTCACTGAAGCTGAGGGTCTCTGATGTGAACGAGTCTGCCCTCTGCTGGGAAATGCATGTGAACAGATCGCAAACAAGTGTAACACATGGACATGTTAAGAAAAAATACTTTATTTTCTGGCTAAATAATCTTGAATATACAGTTCAGAGTGAATCAAGTCAAAAAATATTTTTACAGTGATATATATACAGTGTTAAAAAAAAACAGAAAGCAATAACGGTGTTTCAGAGGCTAGTTTAGTAAAAAAGACCACTTGAGTGCTTCTGCAACTTTGGACACTTTTTTTTGTCCCAGGGGTTAGTAACTTTTTTTACTTTTATTTATTTATTTAGTTAGTTAGTTAGTGACATTCAAATTAAAACTGTCCTGGAAACCTTTTACAGTGCCCCATTGTCTTAGTGTTAAAATATGAACCAAAACTAAAAACAAAAACAAAAAATTTTGATCTCATTTTACAGTAAATCTTAAAACACTCTCACATTCTTAATCTATATGAGAAATAGTAACAGTGATGGTAATACCACAAACTAAGGCAAATACACGGCAAAAAGTTTAAGAGTTTTTGCTTAAAATGAGAAAAAATATCTGCCAAATGGGCAAGAAAAAAATTATTTTCCTATTCCCCCTTTAAATTATTATTATTAGTATTATTATTATTGCTACTATTTATTTATGTATTTATTTTTACCTTGTTGCAAAGGCAAAAACTAACCAAATTTTGATACCTTTTTTCAGAAAAAGGAGAGATTGTCTAATGCTATTACCAAGTAAATGTATCTTTATTTAAGAATGTTTAGATATTGTTACTGGAAAACCTGTGAAAAAATCATAAGCAATTAAATACTTTTTGCAAACTGTTCCACGACTGTAGTCTTCTCTGTGTTCTTGGTGTTGTTGTGTTCTCCTCTGACAGCAGATGCAGCATTTATTGATCCGTCTAATGGAGGAGTAACAGAACACAGTTCAGTGCTGCAGTTCTATTGTGTTCCAGTCTCTGCAGAACTGACAAACCCTCTAGAAAGCATCAGTCTCTAACAGAAAACAACAGCAGCAAACTCACAGTTTATAATGACAGTAACCTGTAAACTGAACATGAACTATAGAAATACAAAGCATGATGATTTTTGAGCTGTGTGGCCATTTGTACCAGGAGAGAAGAAGATATGCTGTTATGAATGTTTCCTAAAACACAGAGAGACATATAGAGGCAAATTCAAACCATTTCAGTAAAATGTTCTAAATAACAGTTTTAACTGACAGTTCTTAATGACGAGCCAATTCAAACTATAATAAGAAGGAATAAAATACTATTTGGTGGTTGTTGTATGTGAAACTGCTGTGATATTAATCTTCCGTTCATATGTCCGAACATGAACTATAGAAATACAAAGCGTTATGATGTTTCAGCTGTGTGGCCATTTGTACCGGGAGAGAAGAAGATATGCTGTTATGAATGTTTCCTAAAACACAGAGAGACATATAGAGGCAAATTCAAACCATTTCAGTAAAATGTTCTAAATAACAGTTTTGACAGTTCTTAATGACGAGCTAATTCAAACTATAATAAGAAGGAATAAAATACTGTTTGGTGGTTGTTGTATGTGAACCTGCTGTGATATTAATCACCCGTTCATATGTCTAAATTCGGTCAGTCGAATCGAGGCACATCTTCAGCATTCGCAACTAACAATTTCATCATCATCTTCACACGCTCCAAACTCATGCAGCTGTGTGTGATCTGTGAGATTTCATCATGACAGATCTTCCATGTAAAGTTATATGCAAATATATGAGCACACGCCCACACACATGCACAAACAATGCGTATGTCATCTTTTTGTAATGTGCTGTCATGTTTCTGTGCTATATTTACTGTAGCTGACACTGCAGTCTAAACAAAAAGATCAAAACATCAGAACAGAACAAACCTGACATTCTGGAGAATACCATTTTTTTTCAGCTGTGGCCTTATGGTAAGCGTACATGTTTCAACACATTTAAAATATCTACATAGACAACATTTACATATTTGGGAAACACTTTTATTCTTACAGTGCATTTGTGTCTTGCCTGGGAATTGAACTTATGACTTTGGATATGGTTCTACTTACATACAAACACTAACATTAACTTATCACTGACATTAACTTAAGAAGAAGATACCTTCTTTTAGTCAAATTTTGATGCAGTACCATTATCATTTACAGGAAAGGCAATTACAGAATGCGTTAAGTAAAAAATATCCATCCAAGATCGTAGATGAAATAAGAATCAATGTTAGATCTGATCACCGAATAGTGAAAAGTATTAACAAAAGTTGAAGTTGCCTGTTATGCATTTTAATGTTTATTATTAAAGCAATGTGTTGTCAGTTTTGCAACATGCTAAGGTCAAGCTCTGTTAATTAAAATTAATTGGGAACTGAGTAACATGTATACACTTCTATGTACATACTTGAAATTTAATTTACTTTTGCGATCTTTTATTTCTGAGCAATACTTCTGTAATCATTTTATGACTTACTTGGGTGTTGCGACTCTCCTCTGTCTACAGTACATTTTCCAAATTTTCCAAAATAATTTAGAATTAATGTAATAAGTATGACTCTTTTTGTCATGATTTTAAACTTTGACATTTTTGTCATAATTTCGATTTATCTCATAATTATGACTCAATATCATAATTGAAATTGTCATAATTTTGATTTCTATGTCCGTTGTCATTTTATCTCTTTTACCTCACCATGACTTTTTTTTGTCATAATTATGAACAGTCATTTTGACTTTTATGTCATAATTTAAACTTTTTGTAATAAAGTTGACTTATAACTTAATATCTCATAATTTCGATCTATGTTACTTAGCATCTCATTATTTAGACCGTGTCGTATTTATGAATTTTAAAATGCAATTGACTTTAATGTCATAATGTAAAATTTTTGTAATATTTTTTTACATAATTATGACTTAGTATCTCATAATTTAGACTTTTTGTCATAAGTATGACTTTTGTCATAATAATGATATGTTAATTAGGAGTCATAATAATGACTTATGTTAAAATTTAAACTTTTTGTAATAATTTCAGCTGCTCTAATTTTGTCATAATTATGACTTTTATGTCATAATTTAAACTTTTTAGGACATAATTTCAGCCTTTTATCTAATAAATATGACATTTATCCCTTAATTATGATTTGCCAAATCATGTTTTTTTTTCTTATGTGGCAGAAATGGGCTTCTGTAGTCTCCAGTGCAGTTTGCAAGAGTGTTTGTGTGGTGAATCGAGTTCTCTTATGACGTTTTGTGTTTTAGTATGCTGTCTTTGTAGGCAGCAGGCAGCAAGTCTCCTCTTGTTTCCATCCAGAGGAAAGACAGAACGACTTGAGCTGTAATTTAATGTAAGCATTCATTTAACCACAGGCGCTCACAGTCACTTTAGTTGTATCTGACATCACATGCATTCATGTTAAAATGCATTATGATTTTTTTTCCATACCTCATGGTAATTAAGGGCTCAAATTGGAACGGCTCCTGGAGCTCAATGTAGGACACAGCAGGCAAATGCACTAAAGGTGATAGCTCAACTATTTTTAAATATGAATAGAAATGTTCTTGTTGACTATCTGGTACCCATTATGTAAAGATTCAGCTTGCATGCACCAGCCGAGCAACTACCATTGAGAAAAACAAGCATGCATGCAGATCTCTCTCCAGGTGTTCCAGACCTCTGGCTCCCCCTGTGGTTGCTCTTCTGTAGTGCACTGAGGATGCAGATGTGTGCGGGCTGAAGGACGCTCCAGGTGCTAGTGATGGATGTCATGGCTAATTTTAAACACCGTGAACTAAATCACCACAGTCACCATCTCTCACGCTGCTGGAAGTGGAGCACAGTTCGACCATTTACAGAGCACCTGGACTGCACTACATTACCTTTATAACACACACAGATTTTCAATTTCCAGAATTTTTTTTCATATCATTACTCCATATGTACTAAAATCAAACAAGGCAACACCAATTAATCTATAGCATGCAATAAACATGAATGAACATCAAAAGGTTTCTTGTTTCAACTGTGAAAGTTGTCAGTACACACCATTTTTCAAGTTCAAGTCCACCTATATTAATCTACTCTCCTGTCTGGTGTGTTTGTCGAATGAAATGGCAGATTCGGCCTTATCATTGGTCAGATCGCCTGTCAATCAACCTCCTGGTGAAGGGTCAATTACACTATATTTGAACTCTGTTTGAAGGACACGTCACTACGACATTTCTCCTTGTTGATAACAAAAGAGTAAAATCATCCCATTTTTCCCATCATATGTGAGGTGTTTGCCATGTAATCACAGCCTGTAGTCCTGGAGTTTTTTTTTTCTTTAGTTGGTCCTCTGTGTTGCCTGATTGAAATTCTCTCTGACAGTTTCACACGGGTCAAAATGAACCCACCTTTGCCTGGTAATGGTCATTCCCATGAGAGATCCAGTCCTCCTCTATCAGCACTGATGAAGCCAGACGTGTGTGTGTGTGTCCTGCTCGACACAAGGCCTGTACATCTGGGATAAAGGAGGAAAAGAAGGAGAACTGGTTATAATGCACGAGTTTTAGTGCAGCTCAATTGACCAGAACTGTGCTTCTCAAAAGCATTGTCATTGATGATCTCTACAATACAATCACAGTTTTACAGAATGTCTACTTTTCTAATTTTCTGCTTATTATTTACTTCTATTACGTTACATATTTGTGCATCAGGAACACAAGCAAACTGACATAAAATATGCTTTTATTGACCCTTTTATTGATTTTTATTGTGATTGGTGTGAAATACATAATTTTTTCAAATGAACAGAAATGTATTGCCCTAAAAATAAAATTAAATAAAATAAAATCCTATGTACTATTTACAACACTCTTTATTTCGCTAATTATTTGAATCTTGTATAGTTGCTCAGAATCCTTTTCTAATTGGACAATCTCTTGGTTATTATTTGAGTGTTTGAAAAGAAAGTTAAAATAGCTGAAAACTTTGAAATGTGATACGCTTTACTTCATCTAAACTTTTTCTAAACATAAGCCTCATTAATTGAGAGACTAATTGGCAAAATGTATTTTTGAAAAAATGTACAATGTAAAAATCATATAAAGGCAAAAGGTGGACAAAAAGTCACTTTCCCTAAAACAATTTTTTTTTTTTAAATGCATGTCCATTTGTCAGCTACAAATATACTTTATACACTAGTACATTTATGCTCTGATGTTTACACACAGCAGCTCATTAAAAAGTGTTCATATTGTATAAGTGGCAATAACAAAGCAAACTGTGAATGCCAAATGTCAAATTGTCATGTCATATCTCCAGAAACAACAAGTACAAAACACACACACACACACACAGACACACACTCACACTCACACTCACACACACACACACACACATGCAATTTTTAATGGAAATGCTAAAGTGCATTAAGAAATTATGTTTACATTTCACTGGCACTTAAAGATAATAAACATCCAATTAGATAAAATTAGCCTTTTATTAAAACTCCAA